GAGAGAGAGAGAGAGAGAGAGAGAGAGAGAGAGAGAGAGAGAGAGAGAGCGTGGATCTACTGGGTGGCCATTTTGATTTTGCCCCGCTGGGAGCGAATGGGTACTCCCTAACTAGATTTGTTTCTTTTGTTCGCACGGATTTAAGCGAGCTGACATTTTGCACACATTTCTTCGTTATTTTCAATCCTTTTTTTTTTCTTTTTTTTTCATCATTTCATTGTTTGAAATCATGCATTTTTGCGCTCAAATTGTCCAAAGCAAAACATAGGTTCCGCGGTTGGCGCGAAAATTTTGCCAGCCCGGATCCCAGAGTCCAGCCGCAGTTGGGTTGTCTATTCGATTGGAACCGTAAGGGGATGGGAATGTGCCAATATTTGATCGTCGGACCGGCCACGCGACTGCTTGTAGGCTAAGTATACTCCATTCCTACGAGGAAAAACGCGCAACTCTGTTTCTGCGTGCCACGGCACGTGCGCGCAGCCAGTGGATGCCATGCGAGGGGTGGACGACTGGGCGGCTCCTGTGTACAGGCCAAAATGTACTCCAGGTGTTCTGCGATTGTACTCCGACTGTACTCCGTGTACTCCGGCTGTTTTTGTCGCAAGTTCTCCGCGTACTCCGACTGTACTCCGGGTGTACTCCAGCTAGGTGTACTCTGCGCGCTCCGACCGGTAATACTCAGTGTTCTTCGACTGTACTCCGTGTACTCCGTACTCCTGTGTACACGAAAACTTCAAGTCGCCCACCCCTCGATGCCATGCCACACTCTAAAAAATAATACGGAATTCTGTATCAAATTTGATACAGCTTTCTATATCAGCCTCTTGTGATATAGAAACGGCTGCAGCCATGCCAGCCACGCAGAAGGTGTCTGCCCACGCTTCAGCCGCTTACTGCGTTGCAATGTGTCTGATGCGACGTCTGTTTCCCTGAACCCGTGTCAAGGAGCGCACACTGCCGGCGTTTGGATGAGACGCAATATTTCCTTGCGTGGGTGATTAAATGTCAGAGCCCAGAGCCCCACTGCGCGTGCGAGACTGTGTGAGGACGACTCGTGCTGCCACCTGGGGGGGCGCCGCGCGGCCGCGGCCCTTTAGGACGATCGAAACGGCGGCCGCGGTGTGGGGGAATGGTGGGGAACATATTATTGAAATAATGGGTGGGAATCATTGTGAACACGAAATTCACGGAGGTATGATGGCTGCTGGTTGATGGATAGATGGACAGACAGACAGGCGGACTTGCGGAAAAGTATAGGGCTGGCAGGGGGAATGAATAGGGAACGTATAGATAAACACTGTAAGACACCAGACTCTTTAAAGAAGTGGTTTACCACGGAATGAAATACGTCGTTCCATAGCCTTAGTTTTGTGTACCTTCGCGTGGAACTCTCCGAACCCCCATTTTAAGCAAACAGTGACGACAATTGACGTCCGTTTGTTGGCCGTATTGCTACGGAAGGACCATTTGTTGAATCTGTTCCACAAACACATTTAGAGAAAGGCCTGCTTCCTACTCTGGCCTGCTGCGTACCAGATTTTAAAAACCACAAAAATCGCTCTTATTTTACCAGATGATACGTTGGAAGACCCAGCACTAAGCATAAATACACAGTAGTGAAAAGAAGAAGAAATGGAAACAGTTTGTGATTCTTTGATTGAATCTGTAAAGTGGGCGGCGGCC